AGTATGTCTGGACGCGGCAAGCAGGGTGGCAAGGCGCGGGCCAAGGCCAAGACGCGCTCCTCCCGCGCCGGCCTGCAGTTCCCGGTAGGGCGAGTCCACCGTCTCCTGCGCAAGGGCAACTATGCCGAGCGGGTCGGGGCCGGCGCGCCCGTCTACCTGGCGGCGGTGCTCGAGTACCTGACGGCCGAGATCCTGGAGCTGGCTGGCAACGCGGCCCGCGACAACAAGAAGACGCGCATCATCCCGCGCCACCTGCAGCTGGCCATCCGCAACGACGAGGAGCTCAACAAGCTGCTGGGCAAAGTCACCATCGCGCAGGGCGGTGTCCTGCCCAACATCCAGGCGGTGCTGTTGCCCAAGAAGACGTAGACCCACCACACAACTAAGTGAGCTCCAGATTTGCAAGTGCTTAAAAAAGGCTCTTTTCAGAGCCACTTAAACAGTCATAAAAAGGGTGACACTAAGCGTTAACCTCTCTGAGGGACTTGGGTATTTGTTGACTTGTTCTCTACAGTGTGAAGTTCTTTCCAAGAACATTTAATTGGAAATAAACCCATACTTCCAGTGGGTGATCTTTTATGCACCAGAGCGATGGTTACCCCTGATGCTTAGGAAATGTTTAGAGACGCAAGCAAAAAGCTGCTGTCTAAAGACAGTAAGTCTTCAGATTTTTATTTTTGGTACTGGGAATTGAGTCCAGGGGCACTTGACCACTGACATCCCCATCCCTTTTTGAGACTGCATGTCTTTAAGTTGACTGGCCTTGAATTTGATGTCCTCCCCCCTCAACCTCTAACTTTTGTTTCCTTTAATGTAATAGTACTAAGGCATAAGTTATTTTAGCCAATCTTTTTTACCCTCAACTCTTGAAGTTACAAAAATTTAAAACTAATAGTCCCACGTAGGTGTGTTTCACATGTAGGTTTTGTTTCACAAAATACCTTTAAAGTTGTGTAAGAAGCATACTAATATTTTCCAATTCTATTTTGTATATTTCTAGTTTACCTTTTTGTACCTGTGTATTCATAGACCCCTCACAAACACTGTTATGGTCAAATGAGTTAAATACCTCCTCAGTACACTAAGCAGGCTAAATAGCTGGCTAGGTATAGTAGCCCAAACTCTGTTGTAATAATAATTATGCTACTGAATGCTTTATTCCAGGAGCGCTAATGGGTGAATATCCTACATTGGAAAAAAATTAAAATATATGTAATATGTATACATATATATCTCTATACATAACATCCACATATGTGTATATCCATATATCCCACCAAAAGCCAATGGCCATTTTGAGAGTAGTGAGGTCAAAGATCCTCATTGTTTTCCATATGTCTATACAGGCATAGTGAGTTTCTTTTATTCTGGAGCCTTAAAAATTATTGGAACATTTGTGCCATTTACCAGTTTTTCCATCTTGGAAAATTCAGATGTAAGGACTACTTTTCTTTTTATTAAATTCTAGTTTGGCTATTTTTTTAAAAAAAGTTATTTCTGTCCTAAAGAGACAATTTTACTGAGAAGAAGCAGAATAATGAAGATATTATAGCTAAAATAACCAGAGCATAGGTAATTAGGAGAACATAGAGGAGTAGTATCTATGGAGGGTAACGTGTGATATGAGGGAAAGGGAAATTGGAAATTAGAGGAAATTATGAGGGATCCAGCAGCAAATGGCCATCACCAAAGACTTGGCTTTGCTGAAGAAACGTAATACAATTTTCAATATTGATAGTATGACAAAGGTTATAAGAGACCGGCCAATAGGAATTTTGTAGGTCACTCCTTTTAGTTTAAAATACTTTTTATATAATAATGACTTCCAAATGTTTTTGTCCATCCCCAAATTTTTTCCTGAATTCATACATGCATATTCATCTACTTTCTAGATTTCTCAGCCAAGGAAAGTCATAAGACATACCCCAGATTGATCCTGTTTTAGTGAATAGCATTTCTATCTACCTCTTAGCATGAACAAAAATAATCTGGCATTATTGATTATTCATTTTTGTGTGTCATTACTATAGCAAAAATTAATTCCTATATGGAAAGTTGAAAGCATGCATGCTCAAAGTTCAGAAAATATTAACAGACTACTGTAGTTTACCACATAGAGTGTTTTCAGAGAATATCCATGTACTTATAACTGCAACTAATCACTGTCCCCTGAACAAATGCTTCATATAATCAGAATCTAAGCATTAATTGTGAGAAGTATATTGGCTGCATATTCCCAGAAGGTGCCCAATCTATCTAGCAAGAATAAAATTTGATGTAAACCTGGAAAAAAAAATTATGTGGGGTCTTCCTGAATTATTAATATGTTATTAATATAACTCTTAGTTTCTCGACCAGGAACGAAGGAATGAACTGCTTACAACACTCAAGAATACTGTCTGTTTAGCAATTAGCCTTAGCTTGGATCAGCAGATACTTAACCTGCAGTATTCACCAGAGGCCCTGTGATCCCATTGCTTCCTTCCTCCCCAGAAGAAAGTTAATTCCTAATTGTTACCTAAAGCTCAGTCCTTGTCCTTGATGCCAATCCAATAACGAGGACATTATTTTGAGAAAAAGGGAAGTTTTATTGCATTGCTAGCAAAAAAAAGGTATTCCTGTCCTGAGTCTGATTCTGACCAGGAGGGAGAACAGGGACTATACAGAGGCGATTCAAATGCTACATTCCACGTGTTCTGTTAGTTACTTAGATGCTTAATGAATTACATGTTGGAGAACCCAAATAACATGGAACTAACGAGTACACGTATAACAGTAGCAGGATATTCTTTAAATTTTAGAATGAGAGTCTAAGAAATCCAGAATTGGGACTAGGAAGCACAAGCAACAGTTCTTTTAAGCATGCGTGTGGGTGGCTCTGAAAAGAGCCTTTGGGAAGGTGGCAAGGGAGTCTTGAGCTCATGCCCTTTCTCCCCGGATGCGGCGGGCCAGCTGGATGTCCTTGGGCATGATGGTGACGCGCTTGGCGTGGATGGCGCACAGGTTGGTGTCCTCGAACAGCCCCACCAGGTAGGCCTCGCTGGCCTCCTGCAGCGCCATGACGGCCGAGCTCTGGAAGCGCAGGTCGGTCTTGAAGTCCTGCGCGATCTCGCGCGCCAGGCGCTGGAACGGCAGCTTGCGGATCAGCAGCTCGGTGGACTTCTGGTAGCGGCGGATCTCGCGCAGCGCCACGGTGCCGGGCCGGTAGCGGTGAGGCTTCTTGACGCCGCCGGTGGCCGGGGCGCTCTTGCGGGCGGCCTTGGTGGCCAGCTGCTTCCGCGGCGCTTTGCCGCCGGTGGACTTGCGCGCGGTCTGCTTAGTACGTGCCATAGCTCCAGAACAGGGTTCGCGTAAAGAAAGAGAAAGCTGGTCGCTTACTTATAGTCGGAGTCTGAAGCTGATTGGACAAAAATAAGCCAGGCCCCCAACGATGATCAGATTGGTCAAGGACTTGAAACGTCCCCCATTGTACCACAAATACTTTGATTCTTAGTTTATATGACCTGCCCCCCCCCATTTTTCCTGTTTGCTTTATACCAGCTATTTCTAGTGGAAATAAATGCGAGTGATGTAATTTAACATTTCTAGAGCCAAATTACAGCAAAATAAAACGATGAGAAGTTTGTTTCAATATTTTTCTTAACCTAGTATGTCCACAGTATTTCAATATAGTATTAGCATAAAAACTACCATACATTTTTTGGCACGCTAGATTTCGAAGGACTAGTGCCAAATAGTACAATATTTAGTACAGCAGTTTTTACTTCGGACTTCCAACTTCGAATTTGCCAGTGATCATGAGTTTGGCTACCATGTTAATCACTTAAACTCTAACGGTGACCTCAATGTTCAAGCCTTCACTTTTAAAATTTTAAGTTTATTTTGCACCAAGAAAATCTGACTTGTATGTGAAGAATTTAAACTAATAATCTGGAGAAACATCCTTGCACGAGATAGTTTTCACTTTTGGATAACGCAGCACAATTCTATTTTTAAAGTGTGATTCCCTTACATTCATAAAACCTTTACCCTTTTACAAAAAATACTTAGTTAAGAAACCAAGTCAAAGTCATCTTTAAAGTAGAATCTAGCATGTGGAAAAGGCTATCAACCTGTGGTATTCACAACTGCTTTAACAAGAAACCAGTAAGGACAGTCAGACACCCAAGCCAGTAATTGTTCAAGTACCATTAATTAAATTGCACCCTTGGGTCAGGAATGTAAAAAACCCTAGGTGCTGAGGACTTATTATGTGCGAAAACTCAGGCAGGATATACCTAAAACCATTACACTCCGCACTGAAATAATCCCTTCACGTGATCCTCTTTCGGGAGGACTAACAAGGGGCGGGTAGAGTGGTGGAAAAAACGGGCATAGTCACGACACTTGAGTACGAAACATTTGAAAGTGTAGATGTTTTAGAAATCTACGATTTGAGGCTGATTGAGCCTGAAAGATGTAAGCCGAGCGTTCAGCTCTTCTATGGAAAACTGTAGGTGGCTCTGAAAAGAGCCTTTGGTTTTAGGAACGTTAGGTTATAGGGACTTCACTTTCCCTTGGCCTTGTGGTGGCTCTCGGTCTTCTTGGGCAGCAGCACCGCCTGGATGTTGGGCAGGACACCGCCCTGCGCGATGGTGACTTTGCCCAGCAGCTTGTTGAGCTCCTCGTCGTTGCGGATGGCCAGCT